GTGCTCACCGAGGTCTGTTAACTCTGATGTTCAGTGCTCTTACAAGCAAAGACGTCTTCCTTCGATGGTAACATTTTCACGCCTTCTCACATTTTAAATTCACTTACCAGAAATTTATTGAATGCTTGCTCCATCCAAGGCACCGTGCTTGGCTTTATCTGAATCATCCTGGATTTGACAAGTGTTCCCTGAGGACGGTACCTAAATGGATGTTTGTAAGAAAATAAAGCTGGAATAAAACCTATTTACCCCTTCTTGTTAGAACAATAGGACGGCATTATCGCAGTTTAGAAAGAATTTGTTAGCCTACAAAGTAGCTATGAGTTTTTAGATGAGTTGTCTTTATGAACGTGTTCGGGACTAATTGGGACAGTGGAAAAATGTATCCTATAAATTATAGACAAGCAGCAATTCATAGTTTATGCACAATGTGGTAGTTTCTTTAGATGGTGATGACCAACAATGTTTTAGCTGTGTTTATATTCCCTTGTTTTCTTTGGGCGTAAGTGTGGTCCAGTTGGAAGAATTTTCTAGTAGTATATTTTAACAATGACTAGATGACTCAGGAAGCAGGTCTGATATAAGATCTACGGTAAATTGGAATAATGTGTTATGTTGTTTAAGAGATACCTATGATTTCTTTAGTACAGATCTAAATGCATGCCCTAAACCATCACTTAGTATATAATTATGTTTCTATGGTAACTGCTCTGTTTGGGGGGATTATTATTAATAGGGGGAGTCTTAGAAATTGCATATAAATTAGGTATATTTGATCTTCTGTTCAATTTTGTTTGTTTTTCAATTATTGATTAAAATATGTTAAGAAAATCACAATCCTTAAAATACCCTGAGAAAGTCCTTGGATTATAATGTTATAAATGGATATTCATTCATTCCACAAACATTTATGATCTGCATTATTCTCGGCCAGGGATTATTCTCGGCCAGGGGTCCTCAAACTATGGCCCGCGGGTCACATGCAAATACAAATATTGTATTTGTTCCCGTTTTGTTTTTTTACTTCAAAATAAGATATGTGCAGTGTGCATAGGAATTTGTTCATAGTTTTTTTTTAAACTGTAGTCCGGCCCTCCAACGGTCTGAGGGACAGTGAACTGGCCCCCTGTTTAAAAAGTTTGAGGACCCTGTTCTAGGCGCTGGGAATGTGGTGGGAACGTGGCTCATGTTTCCTGCTGTCCAGGAGCTTACGTTCTTGTGGGAGAGACAGACAGTACACCAGGAGACACACACACACACACACACACACACACACGCTCGGCATGAAGACAGCAGCCGGGTAACAGTCTGGGTCCAGTTCCAGTGTGTGTGGTATTTCCACACCGCCAAGCAATTCTCGGGCCCCAGGTGGGGCGCGGTGGGCTGGTCCCAGGGGTGGGCCGGCAGGCTCAGACCCTGCGGCCACTCAGGCCTGGCGAGGAGCTCCGGTCTTCTAGGCACAGTTGGCAGGCACTGTAGGAATTCGTGCAGGGAAGTGGCGTGTGTTCTATGCTTTTCTAAGAAGGCCTGGTTGTTCTGTAAAGAGAGCGTTGGGGCAGGAGGGAAAGCTGGTCACCAGCCGTTAGGTTGGGCGATGGGGGTGTGGAGCAGGGATGGAGGAGAGGGAAGGGGCTCGGGAAGCCTTTGGACTGAGAGAAAACAGGATTGCCGATGGGGCTGGGGTGGGAGGGAGTGGATAGTAATGTATCCTAGTGCGGTACGCAGATGAGGTGACGTGGAGATAGTCACTTAGGGCCCCCGCATCCCATTTTGTCCAAGTTAAAAGTCATTGCACATACTCTTTATTAAAGTGGGGCTGAGTTTTTTCAAAGCAGATGCAATCCAGACACTTAAAGCATGCTGCCTCTTCTATTTATTTGGCTGCAATGAGTGAAAAGAAATTTGCATAGAAGACGGCATTTGAACTAAACAAATAATTTCAGCCAAAAGCATCAGGGCGAATGTGACCTAAACTAGTTAAGTTTGCTAAGGGTTATTTCTTTTCTACAGAGAGACCAAGTTCCCTGTAACTTATACACAATCAGAAAATAGACCTGCATTTTAAAAATCATATTTAGTAACTTTGTATGTTTGGTCTCCCGAGACGTCCTTCATTGTGAAGGCTCACAGGTCAAAGGTCCTGGGGCCGGCGGGCTGTGACCTCCCCCTTTGCCAGCGGCCTCACCTCTCGTTCATCTCATTTACAGAGTCATTCCAGGTGACGTGGGGCCCACCTGGCCATCCTAGCCGCTCATCAAGGGACCTGGCCTCCGTGCCCTGGTCCTCTCCTGCGGAAGGCGGAGGGAGAGAGGGAAGCCCAGACGAGATCTCTACGTGGCTGTGGCTGAGCTGCAGGCCCCCGAGGGAGGGGAGAGTAGGACAGGTGTAGCTCCCAACTCCCACCTGTCCTCATCCACCGCCACCACTAGTTCATCTTCTACACATTAGGCCAGGGGTCCTCAAACTACGCCCGTGGGCCACATGCAAATACAAATATTGTATTTGTTCCCGTTTTGTTTTTTTACTTCAAAATAAGATACGTGCAGTGTGCATAGGAATTTGTTCATAGTTTTTTTTTAAACTATAGCCCGGCCCTCCAACGGTCTGAGGGACAGTGAACTGGCCCCCTGTTTAAAAAGTTTGAGGACCCCTGCATTAGGCTTTAGAGCAGGGGTGGGGAACCTTTTTCCTGCCAAGGGCCATTTGGATATTTAAAACATCATTCACGAGCCATACAGAATTATCAAATTAAAAATTAGCCTGCTGTATTTGGCCAAACATTTAATTAACTCACCCCTAATGCTCTTGCGGGCCTTAAACGGCCCGTGGGCCAGATGTTCCCCACCCCTGCTTCAGAGTAAGATTTTGCTTAAATTTAATGGTGCAACAAGTTTTTAAATATTTAAATTTACTCATCTAGGGATGGACCCCACTGAGGTGGTCCATCCACATAATTCTGTCATTTCTGAATCCCCAATATGAACGGAGGCTCACCAGCCAGTGGGTGAGACTCACACCACAGCACAGCCTGAAGCTCCATGTTCCAGCCCCCACCCACTGCCACCCCAGCAAATACTTACAAGACTCCCCCAGGGGCCTTCTCTTTGTGACACTTACGTCCCAGAGGCCCCAGAGCTGGTGGGTTCTAAGTTTGGTGGGTTCCTGGCTTCTGCTGGTGTTGACCTCTGCTGGCCTCACCCTGTTTTGGATTTGAGTTCTCCTCACTCTCTCTGGTTTGGGGAAAATGTCTTACACTCTCCCCATACCCATCTGGCAGAGAATCGCAGCTCAGCAGAGCTGATGGGGTCTCCCAGGGATGCAAGAGCGAGGGGACCATTGACTTGAGCTGGGGGGGGGAGGGGGGAGCAGGGCAGGGAGGCGTTCAGGCCTTTGACAGTGGGATCCTGCTGCTGCGTCCGGTGCACCTGTTAGACTTGCCCCTCATCTGGTGGTTTTCATTCCCAGGCTCTGTTGCCTGGTTTCATCCATCACACCATTTCCCACTCAGTCCGTCGAAGCAGGGTTCGAGTTGTTTCCCAAAGGGCCTCTGGACTCCATCAAACTCGGGGTTGCGCTGGGCACAGCTCTAAGTGCCTGACAGTGAGGGGGCTGCCCCCTGCCCACGCCCAGTGCGCCCAGACACCTTCCGGGAATGACCTGGGCTGGGTTCTGGCTGGCCATGTAGCTTATTAAGAGAGATGCATGCTTAGGAAACAGAGAGGAAAGATTATGTAAGTACACGTGGGAAATAAACTTAGCTCACAGACATTCTGCTCTGCCAATGGCTTTCGTCCTCTTCCTGTAGGGCCTCTTTCAAGTGAGACCTTACAGAGCCCCAAAGTCCGAAACAGGGGACACCTGGGTGCCGGGAGCAGACTTTCCTGCTCTCCCAGCCTCCCCCTCTGTTGGGGGCTAGGAATTCTCGGAGCGGAAATCAGAAATCACCACCCTGTGCCGTAGAGAAGAGACGTGGGAGTGAAGACCTGCACTGCCTGTTGTCATCTCCTCCAGAGCCCAGCCAGATAGCCCCTGGCTGCTGGGGTCAGCCTCCCCGCCACCACTCTTAGATGCAAAGTAAACGTGTGCAGAGGCCTCAGCCCCTCCTGGATGTAATCTGCCCTCTCCTGCCCCCCAGCCCAGGCTTTACCAGCCACCAGTCATCTTTCTGATTCACGTCTGACTGTCACTCCTGACGTTCCCTCTCTGGCTCACCATCCCCCATAGGATGCAGGCCTTGGGCACTCGGCTCTTTCCTCTGCCTGTGCCTGCACCCCTGTGGGCCCTCTCTACTCCCCAGAAACACCTGCTGGTGGGTTCTCCCACCCCCTTCAGCACCCTGCCTCCCAGCCACCCACACACTCCTGCTTCAGCCCTGGATTCAGGCTACAGGTCCCCCATAAAACCTCCCATTTCCTGCTTCTCAGCCCCACCCCCACCTCCCCTCCCTGCTCCAGAGTTGGGGCTCAGCTTCCTCTGGTGCACCTTGAACTTTGGTCTACTTACTTGTCTCCTCCACTTGAATGGGAACTCCTTGGGGCAGAGGTGTTGGGGGGAGAGGCCTTCTTCATGTTCCCAAGCTCCCAGCAGATGCCTGACCCGAAAGGCAGTCACCTTTTGAGTGAATGAATCCTCGTTGCCAATAAATGCATCCGTCCCGATGCAGATGCCAGTTAGTAAATACATCGGCTCCAAGTTAATAAAAGCGGAGATCGTTGCCCAAAGCCCCGAGCCTTTCAGTGCTGCGTCTAGCGAAGCCAGTGGCCGGGTTTAAAGGCAGGTTCTGTGTGTCGAGGCCCCTGGAGCTCCGCTGTTCTGTGGGAGTCTTTCCACCCGAGTGGACGGCCTGCGCTTGTGTGGACAGCGCCAGGGTTTGGCGTTGGCCGTGCTCACCACACAGGGGCAGGTGTGGTCATGGGAGGGGCGTGTGTGTGAGGTGTGCGTGTGACAGGTGGCTGGCTCTTTGAATGATCTGCTCACTTGTGAACATTGTCTTTCTGCAGGTGATGTGTCACCAATCAGTATGTCCCCCATCAGTCAATCTCAGTTCATTCCACTGGGGGAAATCCTTTGCTTGGCCATCTCAGCAATGAACTCGGCACGGAAACCCGTCACCCAAGAGGCCCTGATGGAGCACCTGACCACGTGCTTCCCAGGTAATGGGAGACGCAGGGAGCACTCGCCACGCGGACGCGGGCTCTGGCTGCGCCCGGACTGCGCACGGACGCGTCCTCTCGTGTTTGAATCTAACGGGGGAAAATCGTTGCCAAAAGTGACCAGGAACTTTTCTTAGTTTAGTAATTAAACATTAAGGCACCTGGGTTACTTCAAAAATAATTTGCCTTCTTCAGCTATAATACTTTTTTAATTGGCACTGAGCGAAAGAAATTAAATTGGGATCCGTGAGGAATTCTGGCAGAAACTCCCGAGATTCCATTCAACCTTTGCAACACAACCTTCTTTAAATACATGAACATCATGAGTCCTGGGAGCGAGTCAGAAACAACTGAAAATTTTAGTCCTAAGGGATTAAACTACAGAGAAAGAGAGAGAGAGAGAGAGAGAGAGAGAGAGAGAGAGATCACGATAAATGTATCCGGCATGTTTACGTCATGGCCTGATGAGTTTTAAGAACACGGTATTTGGTAAATTAGTTAAGATCTCATTATGACAGAAAAAATGAAATGTTTTCTCTTAACTGTTAGAATAAGACAGTGGCCCAGCTGCTGTGTGGACGGCCTTGGCTGCCCCCAGTGCTGGAAGCTCTTAGGAATGGGGAGGAGCTAAAGACTGTGGCCCCATCTCCAGGAGGCAGCCCACTTCTCGGCCCCTCTATGTTATCCCCTCTCCTCCAAAAAGTAAGGCCCTGCCAGAGTTGCCAAACCTCCTGCTTCTTCAAGAGAATCTGGAAATGCAGTTTTATGGGGCATCTCTACGTCATCCTAAGTATTGGCAGTCGTGTGCGGGTAGATTTTACCCTGGGTGTGCCGATGACACGCAAGCCAAGGAAAACACATTATTGGGCCATCAGTTTGTCAGCTTGACTTGGATGCAACCACTACCTCGATGAAAATAGAGCTTACTCACGTTAAGCACAGACGCTTCACATCTTTTTCATTCAACTGACAAGAGACCTTAGTAAATACAGGGTGTCCCCCAAAAACATATACGCACTTTGAATGCTCATAAAGTCAGTGTTTATTAACATGCAGTTCGTTTCCAACATTTAAAAGAACCTGCAGAAATGAATAATTTTTTTTCAGTGCCTGTTTTCAAACTCATGACCGTCTGGTCCAGGCACTGCTGATAACTCGAAGCAATGGAATCGCAAGCATCAACAATCATTTCGTCCGATACTTGTGTGCCCTCAATTTGTCGACTGTGCTGGTTTTGTACCTTAAACTTTATCTTTTATGTGTCCCCATTAAAAAAAAGTCTACTGGCACTTTAGGATAAATTTTCTTTGTTCAAAGCTTAGTCTTCCTTCACCCATTATTTCAAATCAGTTACACCCGAAAAGGAGTGAAAATTAAGTGAGTTATCAGCTGTTCAAGTGTGTATACATTTTTTGGGACACCCTATATAAGCTGTTGGTTGTATCAGTTAGTGTTTGCTGCAAAAAAGCTGGGTAACAAACAATCACGGAACATCAGTGGCATTCAGCGATAAACATTTATTTAGCTCCAGGAGTCAGCTGATTCAGACGGGTCGCAGCCAGGTGGCTCTCCACCTGCACCCCATCCTCTCAAGCAGAGTCCAATTCTGTCTATTGGGGTGGCAGACGCACAAGAAAGCCCAGCCAGTTGCACAAGGGCTTGTCAACCCTTTGGTGATGTCACACCCAATCACGTGTCATTGGCCAAACTCACAGTCCAGGCGTGGGAAATGCACATCACCATGGGGGAGGGCAGAAAGACTGCTTCCAAACGAAGCAGGGATTGACCAGATTGAGTCTCCCCACTTTTCCTGGTGATGTGTTCTCCTCTGTCAGTTTCTCAGTTAATGTGTGTGAAATGATGTGTATTGTTTAAAAACTCTAACACAGCGGTTCTCAACCTTCCTAATGCCGCGACCCTTTAATACAGTTCCTCATGTTGTGATGACCCCAACCATAAAATTATTTTCGTTGCTACTTCATAACTGTAATTTTGCTACTGTTATGAATCGTAATGTAAATATCTGCTATGCAGGATGTATTTTCATTGTTATAAATTGAACATAAAGCATAGTGGTTAATCACAAAAACAATATGTAATTATATATGTGTTTTCCGATGGTCTTAGGCGACCCCTGTGAAAGGGTGGTTCGACCCCCAAAGGGGTTGAGACCCACAGGTTGAGAACCGCTGCTCTAACAGGATCCCACCCTGGGAACCTATGAATTGTCTTAAGTTTTATGCCATTTTCCCATCTCTGATCGTCTCTCCTTGTTAACTTCCAGGCAAACCCGTTTCCTTTCAGTAGGAAGGTGAGAGAGGGGTTAGGTTGGGTGGAAAGCTGGTCTTTGTTGTTTAAGCCTCAAAACCTGAATTCCTGATGAACTTCGGGGGTAGAATCGGAAAGTGATGGGACAAGCAGATGTTAACAGTATCCATCACAAACATACCTCTTTCAGGTGACAGATGACCCCCATGGATTTCTAGTGGGGCCCTGGCTTTCATAGACAATTCAGAATGGCAGTCATTATACTTGGGGGGCTTACAAATAAGATCATCATCATCAATACCAGTGGCTTTCAGGGAAGGCTTGTGAAATGCACAGGTAGAAGGCTGGGAAATGACTGAACAGGGAATGTTTCTAGGGTTGTTGTTTTTTTTTAATTAAACATTCTTTGAACGATATACTTCCAGATACAAAACATAAACACTTTAGATGTAAAGTCTCTATGGAAACGCTTTCTTATTCCTTCACTTGGGAACAGTCAGGGAGCTTATTCCTAATGGTAAGGAATGATTACAGTGTACTCACGATTCTGTATAGTTTTGTAAGCGTTCTGAGATCATCACGAGAAGGCCTACAATCAGCAAATTCTAGAATACAGGTAAATTTTTGTTTTGTAGTAATAGCCATTTTTACGAATTGGGCCTTTTCCTTTAATATAACAGCATAATAAACTCAATCGTGAAGCCTTAAAAATGAACCTTACCATTTTTTTTTGGAAAAACTTATTTGTATTTTAATTTTTTTGTTTTCATTGATGAGAGAGAGAGAGAGAGAGAGAGAGAGAGAGAGAGAGATATGGGGGGAGGGGGATTTGTTGTTCCACTTACTTATGAATTCATTGGTTGATGCTCTATGTGTCCTGACTGGTGATTAAACCCACAACCTTGGAGTATTGGGATGATGCTCTAACCACCTGAGCTACCCAGCCAGGGCTGCTTCTTTCTGTTTTAGTATTGACTGCACGGGTGCTGCTGTGTGAGATACCCTGTTTTACATGTGGGTTTGTCATCTGGATGACTGTGCTGCACAGCTCCTGGGGTGTCATTCGTGAGACTGCAGTGTAAGTGGGGTCTATTCTCAGGAGCCGAATTCTGCGTGAAGTTGTTCTGACTGTTAATGGGGCATAGCAGCTCTTTATAAGTTGCTTTCTCGTGTACAAGCATTTTTGTTTTATGCGGGCGCTCAAGAATTGCATAGGTAAGGTTCGGGTTCTATCACTAATTCACCTGGAATTTGTTTTTATTTTGTGCAGAAACTCTCATGAAATTTAGGGGAAACATTGCGATTATCCCGGCCTTGGAATCATTTGCATGAAAACCAGTGTGCGTTTCCCAAGAGTAGAGCCTAGATTGAAAGTAAGCATGCGGGCCCACAATGAGACAATTCTATGAAATAATACCTTCTACGTAGGCACTGTTACCTTGTCCACCTGGTCACTAAGGGTGCCTCCTGAGGGCGGTAACGAAACAGGTGTGTGTGCTGCATCTCATTCATGGCCTCTCTCCCCTTGAGAACCCCAGGCTGTCACCTAATGCTTTCGTATCCCACCTTCACCATTTGGAAGGACTGGGGGAGCTTACCCTTCTCAGCTTACCCGGCTGTTCTGGGTTGCTGTACAGTGTCCTTTGAAGGTAATCTAGGTTTCCATGGGTCTTGACCCAGAGTTGAGAGTACTCATAGCTAATGTGTATCGAGAACTCACTATATGTCGGGCACTGTTGTACGTACATTACACTCATTTAATCTCACGACTCTGTGAGCATAGGTGCTATTCGGATCCACATTTTTTTAAAAATATATTTTATTGATTTTTTACAGAGAGGAAGGGAGAGAGATAGAGAGTTAGAAACATCGATGAGAGAGAAACATTGATCAGCTGCCTCCTGCACATCTCCCACTGGCGATGTGCCCGCAACCCAGGTACATGCCCTTAACCGGAATCGAACCTGGGACCTTTCAGTCCGCAGGCCGACGCTCTATCCACTGAGCCAAACCGGTTTCGGCAGATCCACATTTTGATGGTAGTAAATAGAGGCTCAGAGAGGTTAAGTTGCCTAAGAAGATACCAATCGTATTGGTTTTGTAGAGCAGCTACAACATGGTACAGGAGGCTTAAACAACAGAAATGTGTTGTCTTACAGTTCTGGAGGCTCGGAGTCCGACACCAGGTGTTGGTAGAGTTGGCTGGTTCCTTCTGAAGCTGAAGGACAAATCTGCTCCAGGACCGTGTCCTTGGCTGGCAGACAGCTGTCTTCTCCTGGGGTCTCCTGCCACTGTCTTCTCTCTGCATGTCTGTATGTCCAAACTTCTCTAAAGATGGCACCTGGCATGTTGGATGAGGGCCCACCTAGTGACCTCATGTTAACTTGATTATCTCTAGAAAGACCCCCATCTGCAAGTAAGGTCGCATTCTGAGGTCCTGGGAGGTAGGACGTCAGCATATGAATGGCAGAGGGTGGGGGGCATGATTCAACCAGTCGCATCAATGAACAGCGATGGATCTCTAGCCAGCAGCCTGGCCCTGGAGCCCAAGCGTTCAGTCTCCACTGAAATTGCCGTTTCCATGGGTCAGACACGGTTGAATATCGGCAGTATGATCCAACCTGACCCGCTTCCAGATTACCGTCATGCACCTGATAGGATATTTGGTCAACGACAGATCATATATAGGATGGTGGTCCCATAAGGTTACAGTGGAGCTGAATTTCCTGTAGGAAATGGAAGGCCATGTGGTTCAGGAGGAATTTTTCTCTCTGACGGGATCAGTATCTATGGGGCTTGGGAACCGGTTCCCTCTCACTGACAGCACCTCAATTCCGAGGGCACAGCTTACATCCCAGACTGCCAGCCACTGACCTGTTTCAGCAAGAGGAGCCCGTCCCTGAGCCCTGTGTGTTCAGGGGGCTACAGCCCTCCACACCTAGTCAGACGGTCCTCAGAGAACGTTGCTGTGCATCCTTTGTCAAGGACCTGAGGTCCTGTACAGGGACACAGGTCCCCAGGAGCTACCTGAACAGGTGTGAAGTGCCACGGCCACTGTATAAAAGCTCTCAGTGGTTGTGTGGGGCCAGCCTGTCCCTGGACTTCGGAAATATTTCCAGGTTGTGATGATATAAAGCATAGGTAAGTTGTCTTTCTTCCATCAGTTCAATGCCAGAGCGAGCCTTTTGTGCCAGATGGGGTCAATGGAACCGAAGACGAATTCCCCAAGTGCAAATATCGAGTCCTCAGTTCTGCACCCCCTCCATGTTAAACACCCGCTTTTCTTATGAACGCACAAAGTTTCTTAATCTGATCACTACCCCAGCATGCGCTAGCCAAGCCACCTGGCCACGACAGCCCCGTGTTCCTCTATCTTTCTATCCTGATTTCTATTCCGACTGATCCTCGGGCCACCTTCATTCCCTCCTGCCTGTCACTGTGGTGACCTACGCCCTACCCAGCCAGCTTCTCCTCGATGTTTCCAATCAGTCCGGCCCACCCCCCCTGGGCGTGGAGCAGCATCGACAGCCTCGGGGTTCTATTTCTGACCCTGTTGGGAGGAAGCAGGGGAGGGCTTGTGGGACAGTGGTGTCCAGTCATGTCCTAGGCCAGGGGTCCTCAAATCCAAATCCAAGTGGATTTGTATACAAGTCCACTCGTGAAAGCTTAGACCTTCTACGTCTGTCTGGTCGCTGGTCCCAAGCTGCCACATTTGTTAGACTAGAGATCTCAGAAGGAAATGATAGACACTCCTTTGTACAATAACTGTTTTCAAAGGGTTTTGTGTGCGTTTTATGTCCAGTTCTACCTTCAGAGGCAGAATGAGGAGGTCACATACTTAAAGTACACATTCTCCAGGCTGTAGTGCATTTGCGTTATTTCTTGACTGTTCTCCACTCCTCATAGCGGGCCACATGCAAATACAAATATTGTATTTGTTCCCGTTTTGTTTTTTTACTTCAAAATAAGACATGTGCAGTGTGCATAGGAATTTGTTCATAGTTTTTTTTTAAACTATAGTCCGGCCCTCCAACAGTCTGAGGGACAGTGAACTGGCCCCCTGTTTAAAAAGTTTGAGGACCCCTGTCCTAGGCCTTCACATTCACTCACCACTGACTCACTGACTCACTGACTCACCCAGAGCAACGTCGAGTCCTGCAAGCTCCATGCATGGGAAGTGTCCTGTGCAGGTGCACCATTTCATAAAAAAATAGCTTTTTATTTCCCAGTTACAGTTGACATGCACTATTATGTTAGTGTCAGCTGTATAACCCAGTGATCGGACATTATATAACATATTATGTGGTCACCCCAATCAATTGCGTACCCACCTGACCCCACACATAGTTCTATTTCCGTGTTATTGACTGTGTTCCCTGTGCTGTGCTTTACACCCCGCGACTATTCTGTAACTACCTAACTACCAATTCCTACTTCTCAATCCCTTCACCTTTTTCACCCATTCTCCCAACTCCCTCCCACCTTTCACCCAATCCCCCAACCCCCTCCCCATTTTTTTAATCTGTTACACCACATTTTACTGTGCCTTCTCTATGTTTAAATAGACAAATACTATCATTATGTTCCAGCTGTCCGCAGTAGTCAGTACTGTAACATGCTACACAGGCTCGTAGCCCAGGAACAATAGGCTACATACACCATGCAGCCTAGGTGTGTGGTAAGCTGTACCACCGAGGTGTGTGTAAGTGCACTCGGAGACGGTCATCGATGGCGAAACCGCCTGAGAATCCATTTCTCAGACCGTATCCCTGTAGTCAAGTGACGCATGACAGCTTAGCATTAAGGTCAGTCTTGTGAATATCATCACCCTCCGTGTGCCTGGCCATGAGGAGTGGAGAACAGCCAAGAAATAACGCAAATGCACTACAGCCTGGAGAATGTGTACTTGAACTATGTGACCTCCTCATTCTGCCTCTGAAGGTAGAACTGGACATAAAACGCACACGAAACCCTTTGAAAACAGTTATTGTACAAAGGAGTGTCTATCATTTCCTTCTGAGATCTCTAGTCTCACAAATGTGGCAGCTTGGGACCAGCGACCGGACAGACGTAGAAGGTCTAAGCCTTCACGAGTGGACGTCTTCGGGCTCCCTGGTTACGAAGTAGGAAACCCACCTCCGTGCTGCTGGCTTAGGCCGAGAAGAAGGCTCTGACCCGAATTCCACCCGGGCTCGCGTCACGTCCCACATGGAAGGAGATGATTGGAAAACTGGAGAGTGCTACATAATTAACAGTGGTCAAGTCCGCGTGCCCTTTTATGTAATTTATAAAATTCAGTTTGTTCAGTAAACTTAATCTTGAAAAAAAGTATAGAATACCTCCAAATATATATGGGAGCCTCTATCTATCTTAGATTTGTTTTCAATACCAAGATGGCTATTTCAACCCTGTCCCCTAGTTGCTTTTATTGAAAAAAAAATCTTTTGTTCATTTCTGTCAGATCATGTAAAACATTTTTCATGTGTCCCCTCATTTAAAAATATTCTGCCTTTACCGATTCAGTTCGGTAAAGCTTTGTAACCACAGTAGCAACCTAACCCCCCCCCCCCCCAGCTCTTGTATTTTCCCATCCTATTGGTGGGAATACTCATGCGGTCATCAGAGAAAACCAGGATTCCCACTAAACTTAATGAACACCTTTGGAAAGCTCCTTTACCTGCTATAGACAATCCTCGGAAGCTTGGCCAGATTAGTAGGGGTTTTGTCTTAGTCCGTTTGGGCTGCTGTAACAAAAGGCCATAGACTCGTTGGCTTTGACGACGGACATTTGTTTCTCACAGTTCTGGAGGCTGGGAAGTAGGTCCAAGTTCAAGGCACCCACACATTTGCTGTCTAGTGAGGACCCTCTTCCTCACATTACAGAGAGAGGGCTCTGGTCTCTTCCCCTAATGCAGTGGTTCTCAACCTTCCTAATGCCGCAACCCTTTAATACAGTTCCTCATGTTGTGGTGACCCCCAACCATAAAATTATTTCCATTGCTACTTCATAACTGTAATGTTGCTACTGTTATGAATTGTCATGTAAATATCTGATATGCAGGATGTATTTTCATTGTTACAAACTGAACATAATTAAAGCATAGTGATTAGTCACAAAAACAATATGTAATTATATATGTGTTTTCCGATGGTCTTAGGCAATCCCTGTGAAAGGGTCGTTCGACCCCCAAAGGGGTCGCGACCCACAGGTTGGCGACCCACAGGTTGAGAACTGCTGCCCTAATGTCACATCCTGAGGGCTCCATCCTCATGATCTCCCCTAAACCTAACGCCCCACCTCCTAATACCATCATGTTGGGGTTTGGGGCTTGACTCTATGAATCATGGGGGGACCCAGCAGACTAAAACATCAGGAATCACATTTGCAATAGCACGGATGGACCTGGAGAGGATTATGCTAAGCAAAATAAGCCAGTCAGAGAAAGATGAGTATCACATGATCTCACTCATGTGGAATCTAATGAACAAAATAGATCCAGAGACATAGAAGCATGGAGCAGACTGTGGAATCTCAGAGGGAAGGCTGGGGAGGGAGGGTGGGTGGGAAGGTGGGAAGAGATCAACCAAAGAACCTGTATGCATGTGTGCATAACCCACGGACACGGGCAACAGAGTGGTGAAGGCCTGGGGTAGGGGGTGGGGTCGGGCTAGACGAGGTCAATGGGGGAAGAAAGGGAACATAGGTAATTCTTTCAACAATAGCGATTTTTAAAATAAATAAGTAATAAAAAATCGGGAGTCCACCACATGCTTCCTCTCCCTTCTCACAGTGTGTTCTCTCGCTCTCAGGTGTCCCAACCCCGAGCCAGGAGATCCTGCGGCACACCCTGAACACGCTGGTGCGGGAGAGGAAGATCTACCCGACCCCCGAGGGCTACTTCATCGTGACCCCGCAGACGTACTTCATCACCCCGTCCCTCATAAGGACTAACAGCAAGTGGTACCACTTGGACGAGCGGATACCCGACCGGTCTCAGTGCACCTCTCCCCAGCCCGGAACCATCACGCCCTCCGCCTCAGGCTGCGTCAGGGAAAGGACCTTGCCCAGAAACCACTGCGACTCTTGCCACTGCTGCCGGGAGGACATGCACAGCATGCACGCGTCCACCCTGCAGCGGAAGCCTGCCAAGGACTGCAAGGACCCGTACTGCCCGCCCTCCCTCTGCCAGGTGCCACCCACCGAGAAGAGCAAAAGTACTGTCAACTTCTCCTACAAGACGGAGACCCTCTCCAAGCCTAAAGACGGGGAAAAGCAGTCCAAGAAGTTTGGGCTCAAGCTCTTCCGGCTGAGTTTTAAGAAAGACAAGACCAAGCAGCTGGCCAATTTCTCCGCCCAGTTCCCTCCCGAGGAGTGGCCCCTGCGAGATGAGGACACGCCCACGACCATCCCCCGGGAGGTGGAGATGGAGATCATCCGGCGCATCAACCCCGACCTGACGGTGGAGAACGTCATGAGGCACACGGCGCTGATGAAGAAGCTGGAGGAGGAGAAGGCGCATCGGAGCAAAGCGGGCTCCTCCGCCCATCACAGCGGGAGGAGTAAAAAGAGCCGGACCCATCGGAAGTCGCACGGCAAGTCGCGCTCACACAGCAAGACGCGCGCGTCTAAAGGAGACCCGTCCGACGGCTCTCACCTGGACGTCCCCGGGGAGCGGGAGTACGACTTCTGCGACCCCCTGACCAGGGTGCCCAGGGAGGGCTGCTTCATCATCGAGCACAAAGGCGAGAACTTCATCATGCACAGCAACCCCAGCGTGCTGGAGCCCCACTTCCCCATGACGCCGGAGTGGGACGTGTCGGGGGAACTGGCCAAAAGGAGGACTGAGATGCCCTTTCCCGAACCTTCCAGGGGCAGCTCCCACTCGAAAGTGCACCGAAGCCACAGCCATACCCAGGACCGACGGTCCAGGAACGAGAGGTCCAGCAAAGCCAAGGAGAGGTCCAGGTCCATGGACAATTCCAAGGGTCCCCTGGGCGCGTCCTCTCTGGGGACGCCTGATGACCTGGCCGAAGGCTGCAGCCAGGAGGACCCAACCCCCATCCAGCCCTACATTGACGACAGCACGCTAAGGCCCGCCCCGACGGCCGGTCATCAAAGGGCTCACCTTCTGTCCCCGAGCTATAAAGAGGTGTGCATTCCGGAAATAGTCGGCGGCAGCAAGGAGCCGTCCAGCGCGTGCGGCCTCCTGGAGCCAGGCAAACCCCCCGAGAGTTTGCCGTCCTTTGGTGACCTCAATTCTTGTCCAACGAAAACAGCAACGGACGACTATTTCCAGTGCAACACGTCCAGCGAGACGGTGCTCACGGCGCCATCGCCTCTGGGAAAGAATAAAGAGGACCAGGACCCTCTGGCCCTGGCCGAAGGGGTGAAGAAGCTGCCCCTGTCGGACAGGCAGACCCCGCTGTCCTCCAGGGAGCCGGGAGGACACAAGGAGGAGTCGCCCACAGGGCCAGGCGGGGGCCCGGCTGCTCCGGGCGCGGCGGCGGAAGGGATGGCCAATGGACGCCTCATCCAGCATCACGGCGCCGAGCCCAGCAGCCTGGACAAGAGGAAAGAGATATTCAGCAAAGACACACTGTTCAAACCTCTGCACAGCACCTTGTCTGTAAACAGCTACCACAAATCCAGCCTGTCCCTCCTCAAAGCGCACCCGAAGGCACCGGCGGACACGCTGGCGGGCCGATGCGAGAAGCTGGAGCCGTCCCTGGGCACCGCGGCCGCGCAGGTCCTGCCGGCCCTCCAGCGCCAGCAGGAGCCCGGGGGCAACCAGGAAGCCTCTTTCGACTATTACAACGTGTCTGATGACGACGACTCCGAGGAGGGGGCCACCAAGACCACAGAGGAGGAGAAAAACCGAGACGATGTGGGCACCATGCAGTGGCTCCTTGAAAGGGAGAAGGAGCGAGACCTGCAGAGGAAATTTGAGAAGAACCTCACCCTCCTCGCCCCCAAAGACACGGACAGCAGCGGCCACCAGAGGACCACCCACTCGGCACGCCTGGACAGCATGGACAGCAGCAGCATCACGGTGGACAGTGGATTCAATTCCCCACGGTAGGGAGAGGCGCTGTGCGCACACACACACCCACCGGGCCGGGCTGGGTGCAGACACCTGGGAAAGGCGTCCGGTTGCACAGCTCGGCTCTGTGACGAGGGTTCGGGTTGGGTGCGCTGTGTGGTTAACTGCCTGTCTCTGGCTTCTTTTGCAGGACTTGACACCAATGTTTCTGCAGCTGTAGAGAGCGCCAATCTGGACGGGTGGGTTGGCTGCCCCCCTCACACTTGCCTCAGTCCAATCTAAGACCAACATTCCCAGTATTTTTTCTTCAATGTTTACGTTGCCCCCGTGCTGGCAAAGAAAGGGTGTTTGTTTTTGTTTTTTTAAGTGCTTCAAAGATTGAGCAGAATCAGTAGTTAGTGGGGGTTGGGAATCAATTGATTGGCTCAAGGACAAGAGTCCCTCCAGTGAGAATATACACTTGACTCTTGAACAACCCGGGTTTGGACTGCCCGGGTCAATTAGGGGCCGCTTTTTTCTTTTTTAAAACATATTTTTATGGATTCCAGAGAGAAAGGGAGAGGGCGAGAGAGACAGAAACATCAATGATGAAAGAGAATCATTGATTGGCTGCCTTCTGCACGCCCCACACTGGGGATCGAGCCCGAAACCCAGGCATGTGTCCTGACCAGGAATCGAACTGTAGACCTCCTGGTTCATGGGTTGATGCTCAACCACTGAGCCACACCGGCTGGACAAGTGTAGATTTTTTTTCAATAAATACTATAAATGTATTTTCTCTTCCTTATGACTTTCTTCATGACATTTTCTTTTCTGTAGCTGACTTTATTGTAAGAGTACAGCACATAATACATATAACATACAAATAAGTGTTAACTGACTGTGTTACCAGTAATGTTTACAGTTAACAGTAGTTAAGTTTTAGGGGAATCAAAAGTCACACACATATTTTTGACTGTGCAGGTGGGGGAGGGTCAACACCCCTAACCACTGCATTGTTCAAGGGTCAACTGTTAAAGCAGGTCTCAAAACCTTTCCAGTGGAGGTAGAAGCTTGTTGCCATGGTAACCAGCTGCCTGGTGGCCCTCTCCACCTTCCTCATGCAGCTTCCTCTCACCACTCATGTGCCCACAAGGAAATGGACCTTGTTCCTCCTGCGGAAAGATTGGGGGACTCCGCTCTCTTAGATCAAAGCACGTGCCAGCACTGTCCTTCCTCCTCCTGTAGATCTGACACAACCAATCAGGGCCCTCTAGTCGCAGTCCCTTGTTCTTAGTAGGTGCTGGGGACTCGGCGAAGGCTGGGCAGTTGAGAGTATGTAACGCTCAGTGGTCACATCCAGTGCATTGAAGTGGTTTGGGGGTTCAGAAAGCAAGAGTCTACGCAACTTCCTTTTTTTTCTGCTTAACTCTCCCTTCTCCTCAAAGGGCAACTCGGGACCTCATTCTCCTAAATTCTACTCCAGATTGGTGACTCTGAGATGCAGAAATACGATGAGAGATGGACATTTCTCACTAGCTGTGATTCCCAAGATTTTATAATATTTATCATTTTAACAAGTATCCAGATATGGTTATTTTCATTATTAACAATGATAATTAGTCCTATTGTGATCATTTCACTGTATCTCTGGGTAATTTGGGGACAGAGCGTCCCAAAATTAGAATTGGGAATCGTTCATCTGTTTGTCACATATCAGGCTGTTGTTTTTTCTTAAAGGACTAGTTCTTGATTATTATTATCATCATCATCATCATCATCATTGTCATGTAACCTTCTTTCCAAGTTAACCCGTGTGGCAGTCCAGTATCTACACAGACCACAGAGCTGGCACTCTGGTTGAAGTGGTGAGAGACGAGGGGTCCCAGGTCTCTGCTGCTGTCCCTTGAAGAGCCCTAAGGGACCTCAAGGAGCTTGACACTCAGTCTGAAAACGACTGGCCTATTAAGTGACTTTTCTACGTAATAACTTTTGCTCACTGTTTTCCAAATCAAATCTTATTTACCAGTTATTTTGTACATTTTTTTCTTTCTATTTCTTTCTTCTACTCTCTTTTCTCCTCTTGACTTTCTAGCAGTGGGTACCATGCAGGCATAATTGAAGGTCTGTAATGGATGGTTGAAGTTCAAGACCATCACTTATGGAACGTGTGGTTTACTGGCCTGGACCTTACGTTCCACTCTTTCTTATTAAGACTCTACCCGCCTGATGCTTTTCACACAGCAGTTTCCAACCTTTCACGTTGCCGCTTGATCCCTGGACCTCCACTGAGGGAAAGCGTCAGACCTCCAGTGATACTAAAGGAGACGTTGCGAGTAGCTTAATGGTTCTAACTCAAGAATTTATGAATGAGATTATTTCTTGAAATAAGTTTATTTGCATTTCTCTAAGTGCTTTGTCATGGTAAAAGGTAAAGGTTGTTCTGAGGAGACAATTTCCACAAATTAGCTCTGTGTCTGTCCGTTGTTACTAGGTAGAATTTTCTCTGTAGGCGCAGGGGTCCTCAAACTACGGCCCACGGGCCACATGCGGCCCGCCGAAAACATTTATCCGGCCCGCCGGGTGTTTTTGCCGCCACTGTGTGCATAGGAATTTGTTCATAGTTTTTTTTTAAACTATAGTCCGGCCCTCCAACGGTCTGAGGGACAGTGAATTGGCCCCCTGTTTAAAAAGTTTGAGGACCCCTGCTGTCGGGATATGTAGCTCACCCAGAAGTTCCATGCAGTTAGCACATAGCGGTTCCTTCTTGAATCCCTTTCATATTTAATACGCATTGGTTACAGGCTAGATGACAAACTGGTTTTCTACACCCATTTTTAAACTGTATTTTCTGTACACCTCAGTAAATTCACTGAGCTGCCTTTCTAATGAATGTGTGAGGATAGTCTACAAAGGAGAATATTTGAGTTATAGGGAGTTTTACTCACTAGCGTGAGGAGTATTTTAGCCAAATAGCATTATCATACTGACACCTCCCCAGTGTTGTGAGATACAGAAATCTTAAGTGGGCCATTTATTTGGGTCTTTCAGTAAATAATCCACAGAGCAACTAAGATTCAACTAAAAAACAAATTTAAAAACCCCCACAAAAATGGTGATTGCCACATTCAGCTTTCAATCAAGTTCAGCCACATTCCCAGAATTCCTCAGTCCGTTTTCTTAGAAACTTAAAGGGGATTGAGAAGGAAAAAAACATAGAAACTTAAGCTATGCCATAGATCTAATATTGAAAAGGACATTTTTTTGACATGAAAAGTCTGCTGTTCTAAATCTGAGCCCCAACCTGGTGGATAAACATAATGTGAAAATCAGAGGCTGCCAGGGATGTGTCTGTCTAATATACCGTGTACCGTGTGCCGTGTGCCGTGTGCCGGGGTCCGCACGACAGAGCAGAGCGGCTGGGCTCAGGTCTTCTGCCTCTAAACCCGGAGACCTCAAGGCGGCACCATTAATTCTCTTATTTAAAAAGAGCGTTTACATTTGAGGGATATTTTTACTGATAATGCTCCATCTTCATGAACTTGTTCATCATCATATCCTGAGCCCTCGATAGGAATGCCACACACAGAATGCCTCGTTCTAACAGCAACAAGGAAAGGTCTCCTTTGAGGAAACTGGAGGACGGCATGTATTTATCACGATTATCGGTTGACCGTGGCAAAGAGGCATCTTGGAGCACAGACAGCTACCAAGATGGTAGGCAGCCCGGCGCAGTGAGGTGTGTTTGCAGGGCCCGGCACTGTGCCTGGCCTACCGCGGGTCCATGTTAAGCCCATGCCTCAAAAGCTGGTTTAAAAGTGGGTTTTTTGGAACTTTACGTGTATTTCCTCATAGAAAAGGACCCCCATGGATTCCCAGACCAACTCACACAGTAGCTACTTTATGCATTACATGCTAGATGCAGAACAGAAATAATTTACACTTGTCTAGCTTTGCAGTGTACAGATTCTTCATCGACGCCTGTTTCCTCGTGGTCGCTCTGTGAGAAGGTAAATCACGTAACTCTCCTTGTGTTAAAAGTGAGGACGTTAAATACCTGAGGGAAATATTATCAGGATTAAGGGTGAAGCTGAAGGAACCTGTCATGAAATCTCTGGGGTCTACATGTTTATTGCCTCCCTCCCTCCCTCCCTCCTTCCTTCCCTTCCTTCCTTCCTTCCTTCCTCCCTTCTTTCTTTCCTTCCTTCTTTCCTTTCCTTCCTCCCTCCCTTCCTTCCTTCCTTCCTTCCTTCCTTCCATCCTTCCTTCCTTCCTTCTTCCCTCCCTCTCTCCCTTCTTTCCTTCCTTCTTTCCTTCTTTCCTTCCTTCCTTCCTACCTTCCTTCCATCCTTCTTTCCTTCTTTTTTTCCTTTCTTCCTTTTTTCCTTCCTTCCTTCTTTCCTTCTTTTTTTCCTTTCTTCCTTTTTTCCTTCCTTCCTTCCTTCCTCTCCTTCCTTCCTTCCTTCCCTTCCCTCCCCTGACTGTGCCTCGGCTGTAGGGCTGGCAGCCTCCAATGGGCTTTCGTAGGGAAGGGGCCAGGTAAGTGGAAAGCCGGGCACTTTCCATCCCTGTAGTCCTGAGGTGCTGAGTATCCTGTAGGTCGGCCCAGCTTGGCCATAGGCACAATGGAGGAACTTCTATAAATGTCTTACCCGTCTGCCGGTTCCCTCTGCAGTCAAGGAATGTCTGGCTGTCTCTTTGGTAGTTGACAAACATAGTTTCTTTTGAACAGTGAACTCTTGGCTCTTTGATGAGAAGCAAACTCAAGGCCACAAGAGGTTAGGATGAAGTAACCTGTTAGTAAGGGCTGCCGAGGTCTAGGGTTCAGACAGAATTGCCATCCGTTTTGGAGGAGACGGGGAGACAGTAGATGTCCACCATTGCCCTTTGACCTGCAGGCCAGCTTCCGCAGGCGTAACTCAGTCCTGGGACCAGCTCTCATCAAATGTTTTCTAAACCTTGACTCTGTCCAGGAGGATGGGTGTTTTGAGCATCCTGATGGTTTCTTCTGTCTCTTTATAAGCTGGTAAGTTTCTTATTACCATTGGAGGACCTTGAACATGGACGTCCATTCAGTTCCCATCAATCAGGCCAAAAAACCTTATTCCTGCTATTGCTCCACACATTTGGAATCTTCAAATGTTCTAAATCTCTTGGAGCAATAAACTAGCTTCTGGTATTTCTAACTTAGAACAATGAAGAGAAACCAAGATACTAAAGTCTTTAGGTCACCTCTATACTCTAAGAATCCTTTTAAAGTATAAAATATTCCTACCAAAAGTGCGTGTGTGTGTGTTGGGGGTGGGGAGGTGCGCAGATAAATGTAAACTTCACAAACGAGTAACATCTAAGAGTCCTCCTCTGAAAACATAATGCATTTTCTCTGAAGTGTGAACATTTGACACAGAGGTGTGAAGGTGTCTACAACGAACTTTATTTCCACCAGCGCAGCAGGTTAGCCAATGGCGTGCTTGAGCTCCGCCAACGTCAGAATCTGCCCGTGGAGAACGCGGACAGAACCGTTAGGGTGCAGTTACCGAGCTGGTAAAGCAGCAGTTGTACCAATGAGTTCCCAGCCTGAAACGAAATCATTACACATGTATATTTACGAGTATTGAAAAAAAAACTGATGCGACAGCTAGAGATCACATTGAATGCTGAAGGCGTTTCCTCGAATGGGACAGGAGGGGAAGGCATTTAAAGTGCACGTAGCTGTAGAGGATCCTTCCTGCCTCGGGCTGCTGGTTCGCACACGTGTGCGCCGCTGCTGGGGCCGTGCAGGCGCATGTGTAAATGATCAGGGGGAGGTGGTCTGTCTGTGACATTCTGAGCCCACAGAGGAAATCCATTAACGCCATCGTTTGCTCTTCCTCTGGAATCACTCTGTAATCATTTATGTTCAGAACCAAACAAAACAAACCCTCTTTACTCTTTTAGCACTCGGGAGAGCCTGGCCTCCAACACGTCGAGCATTGTTGAAAGTAACCGTCGTCAGAACCCTACCTTGAGCCCGGCCCACGGCGGCGCCGGCCCGGCCTTCAACTTCCGAGCAAGCACGGACCCCCCGACAAACGAAGCTGAGAAATTACAGAAACCTTCCAACTGCTTGCAGGCTTCCGTGACGAGTGTGTGACCGTCGTCCGGCCTCCGATCTCCGTCTCGTGCGACACAGCCAAGTTTACGACACTGGGACTGATGTTTACATCTTCGGAAAGACAAGCATCTCGACCACAGTTTTGGTGTTTACTTAAACTGTGCTGCTAAGTAGGCTAGAGCAAAACACACAAGTCTTTCTTTCAGAGTATTGCTTTTTCCCATGTATGGCTCCGTAGCAGCAGAATAGCAGTAGGGGTGATATGTACACTTTTGCTTCACTAATTGTAACTGAGCACACATAGGAGAGTCTAGACACTGTCAGTGTAATCTGCATTTCCAATGTCATGCCGTTGCCAACGCCATTTTCAAATGCCACAGGTGCGTGTTGCTCCCAGTCTGTGGGCAGATGGTGCCACAGAACTGCTTCTTGACACTTCCAAACAAACAAACAAAAACAGCAAAGCCACCACAAAACGTCCAATGCCAGGGCCCGCGGGGAGGGGGATCCATGCCAAACAGCCGAGGAGGGACCCAGCCCCCGGTGTGTGAATCGCTTAGGCACCCGTCATTTCCTCACTGTGAGTTTTCGTGGCGCGAGGTTGCAGGAGCCCGTGGAAGTGTGTCCGAAGGGGTCGGGATGGAGGTCCTGGGAGTGCGTGTCGTCAGGATTTTGTTTTTCAGTGTCACAGATGCTTGTCTGAGTGTTCACCTTCCACAATCACCAACAGGAATATAGGCCTTGGGATCTGAAGTGGGTAGGAAGGCAGGGGCCCCCAGCCTGGCTGGGCTCGGCACTCCTGCTGGAAGAGGTAACGCGGACTCGACTCCTAGAAGAGGTGTGAGTCGGAATCTGTGAGGCTGGGAAAGGGATGATGAGCCTATCTTACAATAATAGATACGATAATTAGTTTGTTTAAAAGCAAAATGTTCTTTGTGATACAAATGAAGAGTATGGCCTGGGGATGTTATTCTTTCTAATGGAAGGACATAAATCTATTTTATGTAGTTTTAAATAGAATGCCTAAATTAGGCGGTGGGAGATGATTTTTAGTGGTTCTAGGAGAGAGCAGAGTTAGGGAGAGTTGAACTTCAGGCCTTTTATTCCTGGGAAGATATCTATAGAGAAAACTTTAAAAGTAGTTTTTGATCAGAGGTATACATGTGCCCATGTAATGAACAACGGAATGTGCTCATTCTGCAAATGTGGTATAATTCTAACTTGTACTCCCCTTAAAATTGACCAGAAAAACCATTATGCATACATGAACTATGCCAGAGTGATGTTTACAGAGACTGTGTAACCGATTTCAGGAGGCATGTTGAGGTGGATGTGCGGCGATCAGCCCAACTTACTTCGAGATGGTTTGTTCACATTTGGCTTTGGTTTACAATGTCACGTTGAATGCAAAGAAGCCGGGCGGCGGCAGAGGGATGACAAATAGTCAAGCTTCAGCCTTCTGGGAAAGAGATTTTCCCAGGGCCCTTCGATTTATTTTATGGGAACAATGGAATCAAGCTGTAGGTAATGGGAAAGTATTTGCAAAAGGGTTACAGATGACGCAAGTAAACGGTCTGACCAAAAAAAAAGAGAGAAAGTTTATTTAGTTCCGTGGCATGTGATGTTTGGAGCCATAAAATACATATCCAAAAATAAATCCCAGATCCAGCCAGCGGCATGGCGTTGGTGAAGCGCCCCTGCCCCGGGTTAGGCTGCATCGGCGGCCCGTTTAGGGAATGCAGGCGCATACAAGGCCGGACTGGTTCTTGCAACATGTGGGCGCTCCCTCCCGCTTCTTCAGATATTTGGAAGTGGCGCGGGGAACCGGACGCATTGGGGCAGTGTAGGCTCCTTGTCTGTGCTTAGGGTGAAACCTAAGTACGTGCCCCGGTCAGCTCCCACACCACGAAAAGGCTCCCGTCAGTCGGCGTGACGTGTCATGCCTTATTTCCTCCGAGGCATGCCCGGATGGCTCAGCAAGGCACGCTGTCTCCCCGCTTAACTATGTCCAGAAGGAAGGATAATGTCTCTAAGAGACTCCATTCCAAGTGCGTTTCCTTGGGGAGCTGTCTACCATACAGTTACTAAATCCTTCTGTCTAAATTCCTCCTTCCCCACCCCCCCCCCAAAAACCCTGCTCTCAAGTGTTTACCATACACTCAGTTCATAAATAACATAACCATTGAGACAGCCCACCAGCCTCCGGCTGATCCTCTGAGAGTCGCCATCATCTGAGTCAAAGGCTGGATGACCCGGAAAAGCAAGCACGACCTTTAGAAGCTTTAAAATAGGAATTGATCACTATTTCGCAAGAAATCGGTTTACAGAAGACATTGTTCCAATAAAATGGGTACACTTTCTGCCTGATGCTATGGGGTAATTAAAAAAACAAAAAAACAACTCCCTTAGACCAGCAGCCATGAGCGTAGAAACGATGGACTTTAAAGGGGATATGATGTCCCAGGTAGACGCAGCCCCGTCTGATCTCTCCGGGCTTCCTGAAGGGGGGAGGGAGGGGCAGGAAGCACATTACAGATGTGACCCAGGATGGGCCACAGCGAGGCTCTCGGGGACCAAGCTTCGAGGACACCCTTGTCCTCCGGGGAAATGCTAGCTTTGTGTCCACGGCTGCGTATAGAGGCTTCACTTAAGAGCTTGTCATCCGAAAGGTTTACAGAATCGAATCCGGTTGAATCTCTGTGTAGCGTTCAACGTTAAAGGGTCAACCCATCTGTTGGCATTTTGCACACTTATGTATTATTATGATGCAGCATATTACTTTATGGTAATTTTTATTTTTGCATATAACTACCTCCATAAATTTGATGAAGCGGCAGCCGTGCGTTGGTGTGTATCGGTCAGAAAAGCGGAGTTCAGGCCATGGCGTGGTGTGTGTGTGTGTGTGTGTGTGTGTGTGTGTGTCGGCGATCGCCTCCGTGGACTCATGACTTTCTCATCGCCATGGTTTCCTTTCACGGCTTTATTTCACTTTCAGATGTAAGCCTGTCTCCTCCCCTCCCCACCACAGCACACTTGGTTTTGTGATGAATGGGAGGAAGTTTAAATTTCTTGTCTCCCTGCCCCCGCCCCCATTCTTGCTAAAAGTTCCCCCTAGCAAAGAGCCAATTGGTAAACATAACGTAGCAAGCGATTTACTCCTATAAAAATCTGAGGTGAATTCTAGGTTTTCAGTAACCGAAGACACACAAGAAATGTGGATTGCGACTAGGCAGCTCTTTGGTCCTCTCTGCCTTCACCGCATGCTGGCGTCTCGAGCCCACACGTCCCTCCCGTGAGAAGAGCTGTGCTGAGTGCCCACAACTCCTGTTCCATAGGTTGTATTCCATTTTATATATTTGTACATCTCAGGGGACCTAATTAAGGGCGGGCACCAAATACAGAAAGTGGATTGGAGAGCTGAATGGCGACGAGCTGAGTAAAGATGAAAAAAAAAAAAATGACCACTTCTCTGACTTCGGGAAGCAGCCATTTTTTTAAAAAAGGGAATCTGTGGTAACAATGAGCCAAACACCAGCTGTTCCCAAGTCTCCCTTTCCCACAAGCCAGCCAGCATTTCTAAAATGCAAATCTCAATTCTGTTGCAGTCACCTCGGGGAGAAAAAAAACCCTCTTCGATGACAACGAAAGCATCGTTCCTTTTTTAGGCTGGCACAGCTTTCTCAAGTTCCACCCAGGAAAACCACTTCTCACCACAAAGTGTACTTGAAAATAAGTTTCCAGTTCAAATCGTAGGCCTATCGCTCACCCTACAGTCGTGGCGATGCTCTGGAACGGCTCAGTGTATGCCATGGGCAGTATTTTGGAGCTTGATTAGAAACCAACCCCGACCTGTAATGACTTTGCACATTCATGTCGGGGTCTCAGTGCTTCCAACGCGTGCGGGTTCACAGACAGCTCCCCGCGCGGGTCCTCTGTGCCGTGCCCGTACTTGAAGCGAACACAGGAAGGAGTGACAGACGAGATGACCCAGGACACAGTGGCAGCTAGCGATGATCTCTGTTCTATCTGTTGGATAGACCATCCCGAGCAATCACCCAACACAATGCGATTTTTTTTTTCCTGATGTGTGCTAATAAAGTCAAAGAAAAACGAATACAACTTTCCACCGTTGTCCACTTTCATTCCAAAAGTTCAGGGCGCTGGGAATGTGACGCCTCCGTACACCTTCCTGGCAGCGATTTCTGAAGGGGGACGTCCATTCGGCCCATTCCGGTGCCACTGCGGTCAGCGGTAGGTCTAGACGCCCGTGTTTGCAGTTGCCTATCGGCTCCGTGATTCCTGTGCTAAAATGCCGTCTTTCAAGGAATACGGCTGCTCCGGGCTGGGGAGGTGCCGAGGCGGAAATTTCAGTGAAGAACTGTCTCAAGTTCTCAGGCTTCGTAGGCGACAGCAAGGCAGCCCTTATCGGGCCCGGCTCCGAAGAATCTGGATTCCCCAGGGAGCTGGTCTAGTTGGCAGTGCCCTCACATTAGGAGGGCACTCGATGAGGGCCTTCTCTGTTGCCACGGGCCGGTCACAGGACCCGCTGGCCGCGTTCTGGCGGTGCCAGTGGACCCCGCAGAAGTGGCCCTTCCCTTCCCTCTCCCCGGCCCCCGCTCCCCCCGGCCTGTCCTGCCCATTGTCTGGGGGGCCAGTTCTCATCTGTTCCTGAGTGACTCCCCCACACACCTTTAGGGCTCGGGGAGCCAGAACACAGGAAACACGAATGCAAAAGCCATGGAAACATTGTTTTGCTCTGGGTCAGTAAAATAGGGGCAGGAAAGAGATTACCATCGGTCTGACCTTTGCCAAGTCAGATAACCGAATCGGCTGCCACTCCGTCACTCTCCCTTAAGGGTTGACAGTATTAAGGCTACATCCAATATTTCCCCATTTCATAAATTATACACACACACACAACTCATTATTAAACTTCCTGGTGTGTCTGGAACAGACATTGGCATCTCCCTGGTTGAGTTCCTCTCGGCGTCTCTGGCAGCAGCAGCCCAGAGATTCCCGGCGATGGCTCCCCTAACACACGCTCCTGTGTGTTCACAGTTGTGGTTTCTGTGACTTAGAGTTGCTGGTTTGCAAGGTTCGGCATTCTACAAGGCTCCAGGGGACTAAACCTCCTTCTTATGATTGTATTATTATCTGTTTTCGGGCTTTAAATCGCTCCTGTTGGCTTCGAATGCGAACACACACACACACACACACACACACACACACACACCCTGCCAACGAGGGAAGGGGCTGTCTACCACACAAGGCAGTGATCCCTGGAAGCCCATGGAAGGCTAGAAGCTTGGCTGGCCCACGTACAGCTGCCTACCTCCCTGTCCAAAGGTTGACCTTGGCACCCCATCCCCTTGCTCCCACCAAAAAGAGGTACCAAATCTGAGATCTGAGAGCTCCAGTTTCAGTCCTCTGCCGTTCTAGGAAATTTATCATGAACTACACACTCAGCAGCTCCTCACCTTCCTGTCCTCCATGGTCCTCCCTGCCTCCTCCCTACCGCCCTTGTCCCGCCCCCCCCCACCCCCCGCACCACCACCACCACCTAGATACCCATACACCGCCTCGGTTTCCACATTGGAAGGGCGAAGTCGTGTGTGGTATTGTGCGCACATGATGGTTAGCACCAGAGCTAACCCCGGGTCACCTTCCTGTAAGTATTGACAGCTACAAATTAAGGTCCTTAGAGTAGTTGACATAGATACGACTTTCTAGCAGAGAATCAAATTTCAACGTTCAGTTTAAAGGGATCATAATTCTGCAGGTATCCTTCTCTGAGTGACTGAATGTGACTATTGCATTAGGGGTAAATGAATTAAGAAGTGCAAGTGGGATTTACTGTATGTTAGAAAGAAGTTTTGCAGCCAAGACTGCCTTGAATAAAATGTGTTTGCACTGAAAAAAAAAATTTTAAATTACTTGGTCTCTGGTTGCTGTAAAGGTCATCCAAGATGGATGTTCTGTTTATATTGTATAGTATTTCATATGAAATAATTACAGTTCATGAAATGTCTTCCCTAATGTTACTGATTTATAACAGCACATTTGTAACATGGTTTTTATCGTGTCAGTGTGCCATATTGTAAATGATGATTACTTGTCATGCTTAGTATAATAACTTAAAAGGAAAAAAAAGCACAGGGATTTTTGTAAGTCTATATTTGAAAGTCCCTCCATATGGTAATATTGTGTTCATGTTGTTTATGTAGTGTTGTGTGAAATATCCATTTTGGATTGTGTTACTTTTTAAGATATTAAATAACATTTGGTTATATGTCTAAGTGGATTTCTTTTTGGTGCCCGAGAAAGAATAGGTGAGATCAATTTATTTCTCTGCTCCGTTAATATGATTTCATAACAGATTTTTATTACACAATCATGATGAGAGCTTTTGAAGTAAAGCAGCTAAAAATGGAAATTTCTGGTCAAAACTTTTTTCCAGGAATGTTGAAAAACATCACATTTTTGACTATTCAAATGTAAAAGACTGAGACTTAGAGATGCATATAATTAAGTTTTCTATAGGAAATTACTAAAAAAGGGAAAGTTTTTTTTTTAAGCACTCAAAACCATTCCCACAATAAATGTACCCCCCCCCCCCCCCCCCGTAAGCATTCACAGATACTCGCATCCTGCAATGAGGTGCTTGCGCAAGTTCGGAAAGCCTCCAGGCTTGATTGCCTTCAGAATCTGCTATGTGCTCCTTTCTCTCTCCTCAGTGGTGGCAAATCTTTGTCCTGGGAGAATGGACTCCATTTTCTCAAACCAAAAGTGATCTGTTCAAACAATTAAGCTAGGACATAGCATTTTTTTTTTTAGCATTCTTTTCTTTACTGTTTTTATGATATTTAGGGAGAGAGGCAGAAGAGGGATGATAGAAACATCCATAGAGAGACACATCATCCATCAGCTGCCTCCTGCACGCCTCCTATTGGGGATCGAGCCCACAACCTGGGCATGGGACCTGACCAGGAATCGAACTGGTGACTTCTTGGTTCCTGGGTTGACACTCACCTCTGAGCCACACCAGCCGGGGGAAGCAGCATCTACACTATAAAAGAGAAACATGCAAATTAACCATCACTCCGTCACTCCGCTACACCCACCAGCCAATCAGAGCAATTATGCAAATTAACCCAACAAAGATGGCGGTTAATTTGCATAGGCAGGCGTGGAGCGAAGACTGAAGAGGACTGAAGATGGCGACAGCCACGGAGCTGGACTCCACTCAAGGAATGGCTGGGGGCCTAGGTTGCCAGGGGCAACCCAGGCTTCCAGCCTGCCCTGGGCTCCACTCAAGGAGTGGCTGGGGGCCTGGGCTCCGCTCGAGGAGCTGGGGGGAAAAAAAAGGAGGGGCTGGGAGCCACCGGAGCGGAGAAGCCAAGCCTCGCTGCTGTGGCCGGACCAAAGGCCTGGGCCCTGGGTGCCGGAGGAAAACCAGTGCCGGCAGCCAGTGGAAGGAAGGCCTATTGCGTGAATCTTCGTGCAACGGGCCACTAGTTCTTAATAAAACACAATATGGCGCTGCAGAGTGGAGCCTGACTTTCTGGTAAAGGCAATGCCCAAGCAGGCTATTGCTTTGGACAATGGCAGTCGTTGGGTTACGTGGGGAGACCCCAAGGCCACAACTTTGAAGGACAAGCCTTATTTTAGTTGAAAGCATTTGTCTCTATATTCCAAACTGCCCCAGGACAGACACTCCATTTTTCAAGAGTGAAGTTAGGAAGAGCAAGAACACTGAGAGTGCATTGTGAGTTTTAGCCGGGACCAGAAGCTGCGGTGCTGAGGGAAGGGCTGGGTGTGCCTCTCAGCTCGTCCAGTCAGCTTGACACGGAGGCAATGTGGCGGCTTAATGAGAAGAAGGAAGGCGGGACTCGGGCCCCTTTGGGAGAACGGTCACAGTTGATAAGAATCTTTTCTTTCCAAAGGAAATGGTATGGTTTTAACCTCTGTTTAAGTATATAGAGTGGTGGGATTTTTCTTTCCTTCCATAAAGACACTCCAAGCAGAGTTCTCCATGTTTGCCCCAACCCTGTTCCAGCTATGAAATCAAGAGCCACTGAATAATAAAAAGGAGTTATTCACCTGACCTTAATAATTCATTTCACGGTGAAAGCTTATTCCTACTGTGGGAATACTTGGATTCAGTGACATTCCACCCCTTTGGGCTCAGTGGCTCCAGACTTTTCCTGTAAAGTGAATAGTTAACCATGGGGCACATGGGACCCATGTGTGTGATGAATATTCACAGAGGCGATTGCATGCATCACACAGGAGTTTCAAGAAAAATCAAGGCACCTGCTCTCGAGATGGGCTGGGGAGGGTTTCTGGTGAATCTTAAAAGAGTTGCATTAGAAGTAGGATGTTAGG